CTGGGATGTGGGATCAAAAACAGCCTTCTATGAGCTGTCTGGGGCCAGGGCTGGGAGGGACAGTGACCTGTAGATAAGATGGGAAATTCCCAGTCCTTGCTCCTCTTCTTGGAGGAACATGATCTTTGTTGCAGAGAGAGATGCTGTGTGTACGCTAACTCTTGGACCTATGCCCCAGAAGCTAGAGAGGTTCTAAATATATCCATAAGCCTCTGAAACACCTTCTCTTGACCTCCAGACTGACTACTAGCAGCAGACCTCATTAATCTTCATTGCTATCGGTGATGTTAGTAGCAATATTACAGCCACCATTTACTGAGGGCCAATGACGTGTTGGAGCCTGAAAAAAATTGTTAATTCTCAGAAGATGGGAGTTAAGAACATAAACCCTGGGGCCAGCCTGCTTGGGTTCAAATCCCAGGCTGACTTCACCTCTCTGAGCCTCATCTGCAGAAGTGCAGCTGATCCAAAACTCGATGAAATCAAGGATGCCGTTGACTAAAACACGTGTCATTTCTTCTATGTACTCCAGAGAAAGGCAGTGCCTGTGAAACTGTCACCTGTGCACGAATGCAAAACGCATTCTGATTTCAAAGATGTTCGTTACAATGTGAGGAAATGCCCATTGGAATCAATGAGACACCAAGAGGGTACCCACCTCCTGGGTTCTTAGGCTTAGACTGGCATCAGGCACATAGAAAGGGCTTGGCCTGTGTTAGCTGGTATTGTTACTATTGTCCCTATTTTACACATGAGGAAGCCGAGGTTGGAATCACTTCCCAAGGTCACCCAACAAGCCGTAAAGGGTAGAGTTGGAATTTGGATTCCCTCCATTCTGTGTCTCTTTCGTGGCCCCTGAATCATGTCCAGTGACTGGGCATCCGCACCGTGGATGCCTGCCCTGACACAGGTCCTCTGCCCCTCTGGGTGTCTGCATCCTCACCTGTGAGAAGTGGGTGACAAGGTGGACCCTGCAGGGATGCTGCGAGGAGGCTGGGAGTGAGATACGTCCCACACGTGCTCAGAAAACCATCCCATCCTCCCTTCCCTTCCCCAGTGTGCATCCACAAGTGGCTTTTAGGGCACTGGCATTAGCTACAGAAATCCCACGCTCAGAGCAGTTGCTGTGGATACTTGGACTGACCTGCCTTCACTGTTGGAGCCTCAGCCACTCATACGCCTGCCCAGTGCCTATTCCGGCTCAGAGCTCAGCCCTCAGCCTATGCCTCCTCTCACTCAGCCACCGATACACACCTGAGCAGGCACGGCCTGGCACTCCCCTTTCCCCTAAAGGCACTGTCCCTCTGGACTGTGTGAAGCATTAAGAAATGGATACCTGGGGTGCCAATATTGGCTGAGATTTTATTTCAACACCGTGTGTTAATGGTTCATCTTTTCCTTGCTGATTTTTTAAAATTTATTTTTAATTGGAGGATAATTGCTTTACAGTAGTGTGTTTGTCTCTGCCATACATCAACATGAGTCAGCCATAGGTATCCACATGTCCCTTCTTGAACCTCTCTCCCTCCCACCTCCCGCCCCATCCTACCCCTCTTGGTTGTCACGGAGTACCTGATTTGAGCTTCCTGTGTCACAGCAAATTCCTACTGGCTCTCTATTTTATATATGGTAATGTGTATGTTTCCATACTCCTCGCTGGATTCATCCCACCCTCTCCTTCCCCACTGTATCCAGCAGTCTGTCCTCTATGTCTGTATTTCCATTGCTGCCCTGCAAAAAGGTTCATCACTACCATCTTTCTAGATTCCATATAAATGTGTTAATATACCACATTTGTTTTTCTCTTTCTGACTTACTTCACTCTGTATAATAGGCTATAGGTTCATCTACCTCATTAGAACTGATTCAAATGTGTTCTTTTTCATGGCTGAGTAATATTCCATTGTATGTATGTGCCGCAGCTTCTTTATTCACTCACCTGTTGATAGACATCTGGGTTGCTTCCATGTCTTAGCTATTGTAAATAGTGCTGCAATGAACATTGGGGTACATGTGTCTCTTTCAGTTTGGGTTTTCTTGAGGTATATGCCCAATAATCACTGATTTCTTTTAAAGTAGGTTTTTTTTTGGAAGGATAATGTACCTACCACAGTGTTCATATCCTAAGAGCATAGCCTGATGAATTTTCACTAAACACACATCCATATAACCAACATCCACATCAAAACACAGAGCATCACCTGCCCCCAGCACCCCTCACGCCCGTTCCAGCCTCCACTGCTGTGCTAACTTGTAGCACATAAACCAGTTTTATCTGCTTTTGGACTTCATATAAATGGAGTCATTCAGTGTTTGTGTGGCTTCTTTTGCTCAGCATTTGTTTAGAACTTCATGTGTTTTGCAATTAGCAATAATTTGCTTATTAATAATCCAGTATGAATATATTTTGTTACATGGATATATCATCATTTTTCTGTTGGTGGACATGTGGGTAGGTTCCAGTCTGGGGCTAATATGAATGCATTGCTATTAACATTCTAGAATATTCTGGTACATTCTGGTACATGTTGTAGGTCAATGTGAGTATGCATGCCTGCTGGGTACATTCTTAGGGAAGGAATTGCTGGTCCTGGCTTATTTGCATATTTCACTTTAGTGGATGTGCCAAGTTGTGATCTTACCAATTGATATCCTACCAGCCTGTGTGTGTGAATGTGTGTGTGTGTGTGTCCAGGGGGCTCCAGATGCCATAAGGTGGTGTGTGTGTGTGTGTGTGTGTGTGTCCATGGGGCTCCAGATGCCCTAAGGTGGAAGGAGAAGCACAGGCTTTAGCAGCTGCTGCTGGAAAGGAGGGTGTGAGCAGGGGAAAGGAGACAGGGATGGACATTTGAATCCTGCAACTTCTACACAATCACCCTGAGAGTCTAGGAGTCTCGGAGCCTGTTGCCATCATTCACCATGCTGTCTACAGTGGGGAAGTATAATGTTTCTTCTGGCGGGTAATCAGCGTAGGTGACTATTCAGGAACAGCATCTCTGGGCAAGGGAGTCCACCCACGGTCTCCACCACCCTGAATACTTAAATGTCACTTCGGTCTAATTGGCTCTGCAGCCCACTCCCCCCTCCTCCACCTCGCCTCCGGCAGCCACAGCAAACGCACCACCTGAGACAGCAAGAGGGGACAGCCCTGAGTCACCGTGGCTGCCTCCCGCCAACAAACTGGGCAGCCTTGGACAGGAGAATCAGCCTCTCTGTGAGTCAGCTACCCTGGTAATCTCACCTCAAGCAGGTGAAGAAACCAACCGTAGATCATGAGTGATTATAGGTAGCATGATGAGTAAGTGGATAGATGGGCAGATAATACATGGACAGACCAATGTGACATGTGTATAAATATATAATTCTTATATATATATATTTGCACACAAGTATGTGTGTGTATGTTCACTATTTTATTGATCATTTACCACCTCTCATAATAGCCAGCATTTCATCAATAGTGACTGTATTGGGCATGGAGAATTGCCTACACCCTTGACACACCTGATTTCATGTGATTCTCCTAAGAAACCTTATAAAACCAAAATCTGTATTGGCCCCATTTTACAGATAATGAAACTGAGGCTCAGAGAGGTTAACTCTCCTGCCCAGGGTCACACATGACAGACAAACCACGGTTCTAACCCAATCTGACACTAGGCCCCTGTCCTAACCACTGTGGACACCAATGAGAGAGATCTCTGTCTCATTAAGTCCTCATACTAACTTTGTGGCTAGGTCTCCTCAGTTCCCTTGATAGATGAGGAACCTGAGGCCCAGAGAGGTTAGGTAACCCACTGAAGGACACAAAGACACATGTTAGGAGAAGAGCAGAGCCCTTCAGAGACCAGCGTTCTGGCTATAACCACATGATCTCAGCTAATTCTAGCCCACAGCAGGGCTTGGTAACTACTAAAGCAATGAACACAATGCCAAGAACATTTTAACAGTCAAGTCAAGATTAAAAGAAAAATTCATGCCATCATTTTGACACAGAAAATGAACGTTCCTAGTGTCCTTCCTTCTTCTTTCAGCCAGTAGTGGATGCGGTGAGTGAGATGTGGTCCTAGGGACTGAGGATGCCATGGTGAATCTAGAACTCATTCATTCTCTCATTCATTTGGTGACTGTTCATCGAGTGCATGGTCTGTGTGCACAAGGAATCATGCTCATTGCAGAGGAAACGGATGGATAAACATGCCAGCGATTAAATGAGGTGTTACTGTTACTGTATAATGTCCTTTTTCATCTTGTCATTCATCTTGAACCACTGGTCCTCAAAATAAACTCAATGAGGCTGAAAATAGTTTGAAAATCCTCCATCCAGAAGGCATCTGGTTTGGGGGAGTGTTACTGGTGTTTACACACCCCTGTCCAAAGGCTTGAATATATCATTCACTCAGTGCACGTCAGCGATGGCTTTGCTGGTCTTTCGTCACTGTCCCCACACACCAGTGGCTCCTGGCAAGTGATGGCAACTGGGATGAGGGCCCAGCAGAGCCCTGTCTGAGTTCTGCCCGTGGGCTCCCACACAGAAGCTATAGGTTTCGAGCAGATTTTCACCTGTGAGAGCCTGGGTTAGCCAGTACGTGGCATTCCTGCTTCTGGGCTAGGCTCGACTCTGAAGGGATCCTTGGATGCCGATGGGGGTAGGGGGAAGCTGGTGAAGATCCTGAAGAACCCCAAAGGACTTGCTCCCAGACCTGCATGCCAGAACCAGAATCAAGGTCCAGTAGTAGGCTTAATATCTCACAGGTGTAATAGTGACGTGTCCACACATGCCCCACTCTCTCTGTGTCACTTTTTTTGTGTGTGCCGCACAGCTTGCAGAATCTCTGTCCCCCAACCAGGGATCAAACCTGGGCCCTGGCAGTGAAAGCGCCAAGTCCTAACCACTGGACCACTTGAGAATTCCCTCTGTGTGTCGCTTTTAATAGCTGTTGTGGGTCGCCCTTATCTTAACAATTGCCAACCATTAATTTTGTTCTTTTGCTTTCCAGCCTCTGTAAGGGCCGGACACTCTATTCTGTGGTGAGGGATGCCAAGATCGTCTTGGATGTCAACAAAACGAGGCAGATTGCCCAAGAAATTGTGAAGGTACCGTCGGGTCTTGGGCCTCTTCCCTGAACCCCGGAAAGACCCGGCCCCATCCTGAGACTCACGGTCTGGCTTCAGGCCAACAGTTTGGGCTTAGAAGAAATTAAACTTGACCTGAATGATACCAGGCCATGTTTGTGCAAGAATTTTGCTGAAACAGCCGTTAGAGATAGTCAGCCAATGTTTGGTTTCCTTCTGGTGTCCCGTTGTCAGGATAATTGGGTGTGTGCAGGGACCAGGGGGCTCTTCTCATTACTGGAATTCCTTACCCCCTGAATCCTTGAATTCCCATGAGTGTAAACCATCTCTCTCCATAGCTGCTGGGGAAATATCAAATTGTTAGGTGTTGTTTGGGATTAAAACGGGAACATCCTGTTTTCTGGTGGGTACCTCGTGACTCCGTTGTATTCAGGTTTTTATTTTCCATTAGATGTGTTAGGACTGAACTTCAAAAAAGAAATAAAACTGTGACTGCTCGTTAAGGCAAAAATAGAAATCTAGGTATTTCACCCTTGAGCCTGACCTCCCATAAGCCCTTCTCCATGTTCTTGATTATTGCCTCATGACACGTCTCTTGAGGAACACAAGTGAATTTCTGCAGTGGTGTGGAATACGATCTAAGGGATTCCTTTCTCTTGGGGGCCCTCTTTTCAGATTTGGCCCTGCCCCTTTCTCTCAGGGGAGATCTTCCCTTGCTTCTTCTTCAGGACGCAGAAGCACTTAGATGGAGATGGTTTTGCTATGATCTGAGGCTGGTGGCAGATTTCTGCCTTGGGGACCCACTTGCCATGCCTCCTGCACCTACTTGCGAGCTGGGTGTTTGGGCCCCAGGTCTGCAGCTGCTCGGCGTTTGCGGTCTCAGTGGAAAGGCAGGGCGTGTGAGCCGTGAGCCCGGGCCGGGCTGCCGTGAGCAAACAGCTGTCCTTGTCTGCTGCAGGGCATGGGCTACCTCCACGCCAAGGGGATCCTGCACAAGGACCTCAAGTCCAAGAACGTCTTCTACGACAACGGCAAAGTGGTGATCACAGACTTCGGGCTCTTCAGCATTTCTGGGGTGCTGCAGGCTGGCAGGTGAGTGCTGGTTGGAAGGGCCCCGAGGGGTTCTCGAGAGGTGACGGTCAGGGGATGGGAAGTCACCCAAATGGCTTTAGTGACCTAGACATGATACCAGACCTGAGATCGTTTAACCGAGGGGCAAGGCTGCTATACCTGTGGTACAATGCTGGTGCCCAGGTCAGGCCCTGAGTCCCACGGGCCTTGTCTTGAAAGGGGTGCCTTTGAATGGGCACAGAGCTTCCTTCAGTCCTGCAACGCCCTTGCCCTTGAATTTCACCCGAGGACTCTCTCCTTACTCCAGGCACGCACATGGAAGTTGGACTCACCCAAGCACCCTTGCTCAGTTTTCATATGAATTCCTTCATTTCAGTACAGCTGGAGTATAGTTGAGAGCAAGAGACTTAAAGTCAGACCCACCCAGGGCCTAGTGTGGCTTGGCCACTCATTAACTGTGCCTTCACGTTCCTGCAAGAAAAATGATGGGTATGATGATGCCTACCTTAGGGTCTTTATGAGGGCAGAATAAGATAGCACACAGCGAATGTCGAGCACAGCGCCTGGAGCACATCAAGCACTACAAACAACAGCCACTGTGGAGCTGTTCTAATTAGTATGAATTTGCATATACCTCCCCAGTATCACCCAGGAGGATCATTAACTATTGTTAAGTAATTAAATCTCAGCCACCACTCACACTGGAGCAAGCTGCCTTGAGCTGACCAGTGAAGAAACAGCTGGGATCCCAAATAAACAACCCATAATTCCGAAGGTCTGCCCTTTGTAACTTTTAATTTGAAGAGTTGTGCTCACGTGTGTGCGCACACACATACACACACTTTAAACCCAGTGTGTTTTTTCTAATCACGCCTCTATAACAAATGGTATGCCTCTCCAGAAAGACAGCTTTGCACCCCGCTCCAGGCTTCTCTATTTGTACTCCTGTTTCAACTGATTTGGGGAATCTCTGATCTCTTTGAGGTATGCCCCAGGAGTCCCAATACTCCTCCCGGCACAGTGAATTTGGTTCATGCTTTATGATACTTTGAATCTCAGTCAGACCATCTGAGATTTGGCGAAACCTGACCTTGCTGTTCTTTGCAATGCAGTAACAATCAGAAGCTTAAGGGTTTGTTTGTTTGTTTTCAGATATTCGCCCAAAGAGATTCATCTTCCAAAATGATCTATAGTCCCTAAAATAAGAAAATAAAGAAAAAAGAAATTAATAGATAGATGGAGAGGATCATCAAGGCAGAACCTAAGAAGCCAGGAACTCACTGAGGTTCCAGTTTCCTGGTTGGGGAATAGCTTTTTCCATCACCCCAAGGCCAAGGACAGAGAAAGCAGTTGGTGATGTCACTATGAACCTAAGTACTTAGTGTCGAGACACGAAGAGGCACAGCAGGTGTCTTTTTTAACCTAGTTCAAGTCTCTTTAAAAAAAAAAAAATCAGATTCTTCCCTCCTGGTGGCAGATCCACACTCATCCTCCTGGCCAGTGGCTTTCCCCCCAAGTTGGGGAAAGCAGGGCAGGGCCTCTGCTTTTTTCCCCATTAATTCATGGTTTTCTGAAGCCATAGACTGAAGAAAAAGCAAAGAGAAATGGAATGACCTTCAGCTTATTCATGGAGGCCCCATGTCAACCAGGAAGAGAAGTCAAATCAAGGGCAAGATGGCGCCTGGCCTTGTCCCCCAGATAGCACCCTGCCCCCAACCGTGGCCCAGTCTGGTGGTCAGTGCAAACGCAGTTAGTGTCACACGGGGCCAGGGAACCCTCAGTAGCACCTCCCCAGCAGAGACCCACATCACTTGGCTACCCGGGAGGAGCCATCAGTGCCTGCCTGTGCTTTTTTCCCTGTTGCTGGGAAAATAGGGCTTAATTCAGAACTTTGCTCCCAAACGGTGCCATGGAATTCTTGTAGAATTGTGGTTAGGAGTCTAGTCGCTGGAGTTTTAAAGACTAGCAATCAAACGGATCTTAGTTCTTTTCACTTTTTATCTCCGTGGCTTTGAGAGGGTCACTTAAGCTTTTTGGGCTTCCCAGGTGGTTCAGCGGTAAAGAATCTGCCTGCCGGTGCCAGAGAACATGGCTTTGATCCCTGGGTGGGGAAGATGCCCTGGAGAAGGAAATGGCAACCCACTCCAGTATTCTTGCCTGGAGAATCCCATGGACAAACTTGCCTGGAGGGCTACAGTCTGTGGGGTCACCAAGAGTCGGATACGATTTAGCAGCTGAACACACGCACACGCTTAAATATTTTGAGGCTATTGCCTCACCCATAGAACAGTGGTGATACCCAGTCGATTGTGGGTGCCTGAGAATTAAATGGGCTGGAACTCCTGGCATACAGTAGGCATTCAGCAGGAGTTACTTGCCTTCCTGCCCTTCCCTCAATTAGACCTTGGGGCATCCACAGTGCTCCGTGCCCAGAAAGGGGAGATCAGCCAGGCCTGAGGCAAGGGTGAGGGTCACAGTAAAAGTGAGCACATTCTGGACATCCAGACAGACTCCGGGGCTTCCCTGAGCCCATCCCCAGCATTGCTTTGTCTACAGCTGTTCTGCCATCATCCAGAAAAGGTGTCATTTAAGATGCCAGTGCTATCATGCCAGTCACCTATAGTGATACCCATAATGAAGACAACTTGGGTTGGGCACTGATAGGCCCATCACCAGGGGAACAGGACACCCCAGGGTGTCTGTGCCAGGCCTGGGTCCCAGCCCCCTGCCAGGCATGTCCCTACATCCACCCCAGGATGATGGTTATCGAGTGATCCAGCCTTACAGTTCCAAAGCTCCACTGCCCCAGCAAGTCAGGAGGAGGCAGAAGGGGCTGTTGAGTAAGATGGGAACTGGCAGATTTGTCCTTCTGGCAGCAGCATCCCACCCCACACAGCCTGGTCATGCCAGGAGAAGGGCGGCTGGCCCAGGACATGACCCCTCTCTCTTGGATGACATTTTTGCTTTGGACTCCATTCCAGTTCTGAGTCCTCAAGGCACAAAAACATCCACAGGGAATAATAATGTCCAGGAGTCGTGTAGCCCTGGAAGCTGACCCAACCCTTCTCCTTTTCATTCTTGCACCAGTCATCTAGAGTTCAAGTTCATGTGTTCATTTCATAGATGGGAAAGTGGAGACTCAGGTCTGTTCAAGGACACATAGCTAGTAAGCAACAGATGGGTCCTTAAACCCCTGCAGGTGTCCCCAATTCTAGAAGCAAGAACTCATTGGACCCTGTGAACTAATGGTTTGTTTGTCCTTTTAATGAATGGATTTGAGTCCTATTTTCTAGCAGAGGATGTGTTCTATCAGGTCAGCCAATACACATGTTCCCAGCTGAGGTCCAAGGAGAGGCTGCTATGCAGTTTTGCTTCGGCTCTCACTTGGAGGCGACCAGGGATGGACATGGGAGTGGGTGGTGCAGTGCAGGGCAAGAAGCTCCAGCTCTGGGGCCAGTTGGATGAGTTTTTCAATTCTGCCTCCCTGGTAGAAGGGCAGCCTCAGAGCAAGTCACTTAATACCTCTGAGCCCCATTTTCTCTTGTGCAAAATAAATTAGACGAGGATGAGTGAGTTGTTTTTAGGATTTAAGATTAATGTATATGAGACACATGCATGCCAATGTATATGTTGTATATCTCCTCCAGGAGTATTAACTCAGTCAGTTCAGTCTCTCAGTCGTGTCCGACTCTTTGTGGCCCCATGGACTGCAGCATGCCAGGCTTTCCTGTCAATCACCAACTCCCAGACCTTGCTCAAATTCATGTCCATTGAGTCAGTGATGCTATCCAACCATCTCTTCCTGTCACCCGCTTCTTCTCCTGCCTTCAGTCTTTCCCAGCATCAGGGTCTTTTCTATTGAGTCCGCTCTTCACAGCAGGTAGCTAAAGCATTGGAGCTTCAGCTTCAGCATCAGTCCTTCCAATGAGTATTCCGGACTGATTTTCTTTAGGATTGACTGGTTTGCTCTCAGTATTCACTAATCCAGTGTTTACGGAGGCTCTGTATAGAACATAGGTGCCATGAATAATGAGGACCAACTCTATTTGTTCAATGAAGATGGAGGAGGGGGCACCTCAGTGGTGAAGGAACAGGATGACAGTTTGGGTGTTGAATGTCTCTCTCCAGACCATCCTGTCTTGTATCTCCCACTGGGTCTTAGCCTCAAGTACAAGGTCAGGTAGTGCCTGATGGGGAGCACAGGGCAGGGGAGAAACAGAAGAAAGCCAGCAGAGATGGTCCAGGGGCTTGCTGTCAGTGATGGAAGACCGGTCCTCTCTGGGCCGTGAGACAGGGCTCACCCTGTGCTTCACTCCTCCAGGCGTGATGACAAGCTGCGTATCCAGAACGGCTGGCTGTGCCACTTGGCCCCAGAGATCATCCGCCAGCTGTCTCCCGACACAGAGGAGGACAAGCTCCCCTTCTCCAAACACTCGGATGTCTTTGCACTCGGGTAGGTGGCCCGACCCAGGCTCTTCAGAGCCCCAGCCTGGGCATAGGGGCACTTCCCTTTTGGAAGGGAAAGGCATCTGTCTGAAGATTTCTGGGTGAAATTATGGGGGGAGGGGTCTGAGCGGGCTGTAGTAGAGAGACCATAGCAAACCTCCATGCCTGGTTTCTAACTGACGATGCGAACATGGCAAATTGCCTGACTCACTCATTCATTCATTCATGCAATAGCTTTGTACTGGGTGCCTAGTATTAATGAATTGTCAAAAACTTAGTGGCTTAAAAAGACATTTATGATCTCAAGTCTCTGTGGTCAGGAGTTTGGGAGTGGTTCTGAGCTGGCTCAGCATCTCACATGAGGTCACATCAAGATGTTGACCGGGGCTGCAGTCTCATCTGATGGTTTGACAGCTGAGGATCTGTTACCAAGGTGACCACTCACATGGCTGTTGGCAGGAGGCCTCAGGTCCTCACCCCCAGGCCTTTCCACAGGCTCAGCGGCAAGAAGCTGCACTGCGTTTTATGACCTGATCATAGAAATTATATATAGTCACTTCTACCCACTCTGTTTGTTAGAACCAAGTCAGTAATCAAGGTAAGGAGAATTAAGCTCTACTTTTTTTTATGAAAAGGAGTATCAATTTGTAGACATTTTAAAACCAGCATAGGTTCCCTATTCTCTCTTGTCTAATGGAAGACAGACAAGGAAACAGTTGTTTTTACAAAATTCCATGATAAATGCTATGCTGAGGATAAGCACAGGGCTGTGGGAAGAAAGGAGGAACTGAATCCAGTCTGGGAGATCAGAGAAGGCTTCCTGGAGGAGGGGACTCCTGAGCCTGTGTTAAAGCATAGGTAGTCCAGGTGAGGGTAAGGTAAAGTGTTCCAGATAGAAGGACACATGAAAAGGAACAAGAGTGACAAGGAACAAATTGTCCACCATGGAGGACACCGGGGAGCAGGGCAGGGGAGGAAAGAGAGCCGATGGATGGAGAATCGGGGGAAAATGAGACTAAGGTGGTGAGATGAAAGCCTAGAGAGGAAAGAAGGCACTCTGCAGGGACTTAGAGGCTGAGTTAAGACGTTTTCATCTTCAGGGCACTAGGGAGCCACTGATGGTTATTAAGCAGGAGAATGACATAATCACATGTTGAATTTTAGAATAATCTCTACTGTGCCAAAAAACAGGAAGGAGGAGGAAAAATGGGGCCAGGTGACCAATGCAGGGGGAGACCCTGAAATTCTGCACTGAATCAGTGCTGGGGGAATGAAAGCTGGGATTGGACATAAGAAGCAGGATTTGGGGAGTGGAAGTATAGGGCTTGACTGTTGGTTTAAATGTGGATGGTGCCAATATCTTCCTGAAACAACTGGGTGGAGAGTAGTGTCCTTTGCCAAAGTAGAGACCCTGCCTGGGGCGGTGGGGGGTCGCGGGGTGTACCAGGAAGGCAAAGAGAGCAGATCTGGACACAGTGAGTTTGAGCCACCTTGGAGTCACCTTGGAAGTGACCAGAAAGCAGCTGAATCTATGCATTTGAAGTCCGGGGACGAAGAGCGTAGGACTCATCAGCAAAGACAGAGTAACTGCATCCGTGGGAGAAAATGAGTTGTCTTTGAGGGTACAGAGGAGGGAGAGAGGCTCCAGGGCACTGTCCTAAGATGGAGACCCCGGCACTCCAAAAAGATCCACCAGGAGCCTCATCTTACCTTGACCGTGGTGGGTGGTTGCCAGGACTGGCAGAGATGATGCTGGGGAAGCTGTTTGGGAAAGATGGAGGCTCGCAGATATGTGAAGTTAGATTTTAGCACCACCAGGAGCTGGTACAGAGACCATCTTCCACGGAAAAGCACCCCCATTGTGTCCTCTCCATAAATCAGGGTGGGGGCGGCATTGCCTGGCACATCAGGATTCTCACCATCTGTCACTTGGACCCCTTTAGAGGCTGTCACTTGTTCCAGCTAGTTTATGCCCAGATCTTTATCTAGTTAAATATTGTTATCTGAAACCAAATTGCAGTAATTAAGTTGGTATATTTTAGTATCAATTTAGCAAAAGAAAAAAAAAAGAATGTAATTAACAAAATGTACCAAAGTAAGTAATTGGTTTTCCACTGGAGTTTTAATCTTGAGCAATTTTTTTCCCCCTTAAAGCAAGTTTCTCTTGAAAGTTAGGTTTGAAAGGAAGTTTTAATGAGACCTTTATTCCTGACACTGCTGAATTCCAAGGGACCTGGTGCTCTTAGTTTCCTGCCAATTAGGTGCATCTTGTTGCTTAGGAACCTCATGCTGGGACATGAGTTGGAACAAAAATGGATTTTTTAAAGTGTGTTGAGCACCATGTTAAGCTTGTCATGGGCACTGTCTCAGGGCATCTTCAGAAGTACAACTTGGAAGCATTTACCATCGTTCCCAATTGACAGATGAGGAAACTGAGGTTCCAAGTGGCCCAGTGACTTGCCTTACAGTAATTAACCATGGAGCTGGGAATTGAACTCGGGTCATCCTGACCCCACAGTTGGGGCTTTTAACCACAGAGCCCCCAATGGGCTTGACAGTCATTTCACCACTCAAAGCCCTACTTCCCTCAGCCACAAATCAAAGTTAATGAAGCCACTGTGATATTCTAAGGCCTGAATGAGAAAACATCTGTGAGGCACCCAGTACATGGCCAGGCTTCCAATAGTCTCCCTTCCCCAGTTCACATGAGCAGTGCCTACTCTGTGCTTCTGTCACCAGGCCCCAACCATCAACTGTAGGGTCACCCTCCCTAGTACTTCACTGCCCCGGTTACAAAGGACCCACAAATAGGACAGTGTGTAGGTTTCCCAGGAGAGCAGGATGGCCAATGGTGTGATTCTGTGGTCAGATGGTCTCAACTCTGGCTGTGACCTCTCTCACAAGCTGTGTGACCCTGGGTAAGATACATAACCCTCCTGAGCCTCAGTTTCCCCAGCTGTGAAATGGGGCTGATAATAGCACTTCTTGTTTTCAAATGTAGGTTTTTAGCCTTCTTCCAGTATGATGAGGCCAGTAGATCAGGAAACAACTTACCATTGGATAGTTTGTTATTCACAGCTCCCAAAAGGAGGGGGCACATTGTCCCATGCAGGGGCTCATGGGGAGGCACCAGGGTCAATCAAGAGGCAGAAGGAGGAGGAAGAGAATATAGGCAAGAGCCACTATCGTGGTTTCCCCAGGAAGGAATGGACGAGGCAGGGTAAGCATATTTAAGACTGGCTGGTTTGACTGACTTCAGTGGGCACAGGGTCTGGGAGCTGTCTTGAGTAGGACAGGGGAATACCAGACCTGAACCTGAGAGCCTGATAGAGGAGATGGGGGACAGAGCTTTGGATTGGTTAGTTTGTATATGAAAATCACCACTTACAGGTCAGCCCTTTACTGTCTCTAGAAATTGGCTGGCCCTGAGAGGGGCAGACCCGCCAGGGTCAGCAAGACCCCAGGTATCAAAGCATCAGAATAAAAAGGCTTGCTTAATACACCTCCTCTATAATCATAATAAATACAAAGGGCTTAGATTAGTGTCCAGCACAGAGTGAAAACTCAGTAAGTGTTATTGTTTATGATGATGGTGACTAGAACCATCCAGCACCTTACTTGAGAACTTCCTGGCCATCTGACTCAACAGCCCAACACCTGAGCATCATCACCCATGCCTGCCCCAGATGGATGAGGTTAGCAGCGGGGAGAGGATGCTGAGAGGCGGGTCCCTAGAAATAGCTGGTTTGACACAGTCCTCTATTAGCTCAGTTAGTAAAGAATCTGCCTGCAATGCAGGAGACCCCGGTTCCATTCCTGGGTCAGGAAGATCTGCTGGAGAAAGGGATAGGCTACCTACTGCAGTATTCTTGGGCTTCCCTTGTGGCTCAGCTGGTAAAGAATCTGCCTGCAATGTGGGGGACCTGAGTTCAATCCCCGGGTTAGGAAGATCCCCTGGAGAAGGGAAAGACTACCCACTCCAGTATTCTGGCCTGGGTAATTCCATGGACTGTATAGCCCATGGGGTTGCAAAGAGTCAGACACGACTTTCACTTTTCATCATTAAAAAGGATGACCAAGTGCTCCATATTCTTTAAAGCAAATTTACATAAATTATCTTAGGTTAGAGGAAAGATCATTTCCTAGCGTTGTTTCAGATATTCCCTGAGTTGGGGAATCTTCTCAGTGAGTTGAGACCTATCCCCATGGTCCAACTCAGTGATAGCCCAGCATCCTCTGAACACCCCTACGGCATCCACCATGGTCCTCACTGCTGCCCACACCTCTCCCAGCATCCCTTCAGCACCACCCAGCCCATCTCCCCACCCATCCTGTATGTGCTGCTCACTGAAGCAAGCAGTGGTTTCTTCAGTCATTACCATATCATGATGTATGAAACAGATGATAACATAGTTGATCCCTCTAGAATAATCCCAGAATTGGGTTGTTCTGATATTCAGCCTCCCAGATAAACATTCTTCCACTGCAGTTTTATTATCGTTCTCATTTGGCAGGTGAGGAAACCTGTATTCAGAAGGGAAGCAACCCACCCAGTGACATACTCCTAGCATAGAACAGAATCAGGACTTGAACCCTTCAAGGAAGTCTGGCCTTCAGATCTTTATTTTTTCGTTTCATTATTTCACAGGAAGTTTCCTTCTTAGAAAACACAAATATAATAGAAAAAATATGTCCTTTCTATTACTGAGAAAAGACAGCTTGCTTACATTTCGCTGTGTTGTTATTAATTCTCTTTATATCCATATATATATGGGTATACATATATCAATTGTGTACTATTATTATACATTATTATATACATATAGCAATATGGGTATAATGGTTTTTAAAAGTGTAACACATCTAATATACAGTTTTGTGTCCTGCTTTTTTTCACTTAAATTTATATATTTAGCATTTCTATGTCAGCAAAATTTCTTTGAAATTTCCAATAATAAAGTATTGCATTTCATTTTAATGATTTACCATCATCCCTATAACCAATTCTTGTTGAACAGTTTTGTTATTGCTACTTTTTTTCAGTGTCCTATATAATGGTGTACAGAAGAGCCTTATAAATGAATTTTTGTTTATATCCCTCATTTTCTCCTTAGAATCGTTTTCTAAAATTACAAACATGGGGCCAGAGATCCTAGCCACATTATATTAAACTGTTTAGTTTCTAGCTTTTGATTCATTTTAATTCAGGCACCAGAGAAGATATCCTGGGATAAGCATGACTTCTAAGACATCATGGAAGCTTAAAGTACATCTTAGGTAGCAAAACAGCTGTCCTGTATGGCAGAAACTCAGGGGCCAGTGTGATTAGCCAGCAGGCTGACTGGGTGGGTGTGTGTTGATGAGGGGACACAGAGTTGCAGGTGACATATCACCCCAGCATCCCCTTAACAATGTCTGCCCACAGGACTATCTGGTATGAACTCCATGCCAGGGAGTGGCCTTTCAAGACCCAACCAGCAGAGGCAATAATCTGGCAAATGGGCACAGGCATGAAACCCAACCTCAGCCAGATCGGCATGGGAAAAGAAATCTCGGTAAGTCCCAGGATGGTGCCAGGTCTGGGAGAAGAAGGGAGAAGTAGACACAGTTCTAGGCACTCCTTTTCCTACATGTTAACATTGCAAATGCTTCCCTGGAGAGTGATGAAAACTCCAGCCCACAGCCTTGTCAGATAGTGATTTGGAGCTTTGAAGGCAAAGCTTTCAAACTATGCCTGCAATTCAGTTTCCTACAATCAGGGTGCAGTACACTTGGCCCGATATTTCCTAGCAAGGGATTGCCGCATCTAGTAGAACCAATGAATCCCTCTTTTTCTGTTATTTTTTAAAGATATATATTAAACTATCACCAGTATCAATTATTCTAATTTTATTTAAATCTACATAAAAGGTTTAAGGCATCATCCAACTCAAAACAAGATGCACAAAAACACAGAAGTCCGAGTATAAATTAATAAACATCCTCCAAAACAGAGGAAGGATCCTCTGTTGATCAGAAAATAGATGAATCAGGGAACGAGTAATTATCTGGTATGTTTTTTAAGGATTACCTGTCTCTAAATTTCCTTTCTCAGGTGAGGCAATCACTAGTAGAGTAATTTTCCCCTCTGAGACTTTCAGGGGCACTTATAGTATTAGATGTGGATAGAAGCCTCAGGATCTTCCTTCTCACTTTTGAGAAAACTGCCAAGAGACTCCTTGGGGAGCACTATTAATTTCAGTGTATCCCATATCTTCTATAATGGGATCTACCTAGTTTGCTATATAGGCTCAAAAAGTGGATAAGTAAAAGGATGGATGATGCATGGATAAATAATGCATGGCTGTCTCATGATGTCCAGCACTGGGCTCCTATTACCCCCTGAGGACACAGTGCCCCCAGGACCTTTGACACCTGAGGATCTGAGGGGCCTTGGCCTTGGTTTTGATGTTCTCTGGATTCCCCCCCACCCTCACCAAATCCTTCAAAAAAAAAAATGCATGGCTGGATGATAGATAAAATGTAAATACATAAATTGAGATAGATAAATTAATAAATGCACAATAGATGAATGCATGATGGATGGATGGATGGATGGATGATAGTGGAATCTGAAAGTGGAACAAATGGGTAGACAGATCCAATGAGATGCCAAGGAGTAATCAGCAGTTACTATTTACATTAAATCATCACGTTGGTTCCTTTTAGGACATTCTTCTCTTCTGCTGGGCCTTTGAACAAGAAGAGAGACCTACCTTCACCAAGCTCATGGACATGCTGGAGAAACTGCCAAAGCGAAACCGCCGCCTGTCTCATCCTGGACATTTCTGGAAGTCTGCAGAGTAAGTGTTCCTTCCCCCTTAGCATCTCTTCCCACTGCTCTCTCTCCTATGGCTTTTGTCACCTTTTTGCTCCCCTACTCCCAACTCCTCTGCCAACTATCTCCTTTCCGTGTACCCACCTCCCTCCCCTACACAAGACCCTTCCCCACTGTGTTTCTGTTCAGGGGGGTCTCCTCTGGAATCTGGGTCCTAGAGGTGTCCACACAGGGCACAGATCCCAGTGACTACCATGGCTATCTCATTACCCATCTCTTCCTGATGAAGGTTGACACCCCAGTGTATCTGAGCATCACATGGTAAAGTGGTACCCTGAACCCACCAAGCCCTACATGTCAGCTATTCATCAAAGTACAGAAGTCCTGGGGAGTACCTATTTCATGGATGATAAACGTGTATGCGTTGTCTCTGCCCTATTCCTGTGCTGATGGCAGGCATGACTAATCTCACTGAGTGATACTCATCAGCAGTTACTTAGAATCAGCACATTGATGCCTTTCCTGGCCATTCCAGATTTGGTCTAACTCCTTTTACACATGGAGATACTGTGGCCCACAGAGACATTCAGCATCTCACCCACATCTGCGTGGGGTGTTGGTGATAGAACTGGAGACATGGGTCAGGCTCCAGTTCTATAATTTAGAATTTGCTCTCCCCACAACCTCAGCCCTACAGACTCCTTACTCACACTCATCTGGCCTTGAGATGGTTACTCCAGTGGTGTGGTCCTTCCAGAAGCCACCTGGGTCAGTAGTGGATTGGGGGAGTGCTTGGCTAAAGTAGGCGCAGGATCTGGGCCCTGTCTAGGGCTTTGTAATCTGCAGAAGGGACCAACCAAGAGGTCTCAGTTGCAGCCGACACGTTCCAAGGAGGTGAGCAGCTAACTCAAAACTCACCCCTGGGATCTTGGGTGGGCCCTTCCATGGCTCAAATGCCAGAAGAACTGGCATTTCTAGAATCCTTGCACATGGCGAGTTGAAGAGGCTGGGGCAAGCCTCTGTTCCAGAGCAATGCATCTCAAAATTTAATACGCATTCATATTACCCAGGGGCTTTGTTAAAATACAAATTTTCATTCTGTTATGTCTGGGGTGGGGCCTGAGATTTTGCATTTCCAACAAACTCCAAGGTGATGCTGATGCTGCTGGTCCATGGACCATGCGCCCCTTCTGACCTGTGTTGTCCAATAACAGCCACACATCTTATGGGGCTATTGAACAGTCGAAATGGGGTGAGTCTAGATTGAAATGTGCTCTGAGTGTAATATCTACACAAAATTTCAAAAACTTAGGAGAAAGAAAAACAAGTTAATCCCTTCTCTCCCTAACCCCTAATCTTTCATCTGTGTTCTGTCTCTATGAATGTACCTGTTCTAGGTACTCCATTTAGCCAACGCATACAATATTTGCCCTTTTGTGTTTGGCTTCTTTTATACTGCATGTTTTCATGTTTTATCCACATTGTAGCACAGCGGTCCCCACCCTTTTGGCACCAGGGACTGGCTTCATGGGAGGCAGTGTTTCCACAGGCCATGGAGGAGGGAGGGTGGTTTCAGGATGATTCTCATAAGAAGCATGCAACCTAAATCATTCGCATGCCCAGTTCACAGCAGGGTTTGTGCTCCTATGAGAATCTGATGCCGCCACTGATCTGACAGGAGGCGGAGCTCAGGCAGTAATGCAAGCGCGAGGGAGCAGCTGTAAATACACAGTAGCTTCACTTGCTTGCCTGCCACTCACCTCCTGCAGTGTGGCGTGGTTCCTAACAGGCCACAGACCAGTACCAGTCTGTGACCCAGGGGTTGGGGACCTCTGTTGTAGCATATATTAGACCATCATTCTTTTTTTATGGCTGAGTGATATTCCATTGTGCACATATACCACAGTTTGTCCATTAATCTGTTGCTGGGCACTTGGTTTGTATGTGCTTTGGGGCTATTGTGAATGGCATTGCTGTGAACTTTGGTGTATGAGCATTTGTTCAAGTTCCTGCTTCCAGTTCTTTTTTCATCACCTCGACCACCAGTACCATCTCCATCATCTGGGCATCATTTATTAAACACATATGTGAAAGGTGCTATGTCAAGCATTCTATCTGCACCATCTCATTGAATCCTCAAAACCCCCACCCCTTCACCAAGCAGTAATCTGGTACCCCCAAAGGAGTGCCCGAGAGGTTAAGTGCCTACTCCCAGGTCACACAGCAAGTAAGGAGCAGAGCAAGTATTGGAACCCAGCTTGGTCTGGACCTTGATCCCTCCACTTTACTGCTTTCTAGGCAAAGACTGCCTGTGTATTTTCTGGGTCTCTTTCTAAAACCATCCAGGGAGAGTGGGTGTAAATTCTGCCCCTGACAGCCCAGATCTTGGCTAAGCAGCAGTCAGTAGAGCCTCCACTCAGAGCTGGAGTCTGTGATGTGGATCTGGTCTCCCCTCCTCCTCCTGCGTCTCCCATCCCCCACCGAGCATTCTCAGCAGCTCCACATGACCTCAACCCAGCCACACCTGGGTGACCATCACTAGTCCAGAGGCCGCTTGCTCCAGTGAGGAGAGCCTGCTGCTTGCTGGCTGTGCACCCTTGGGCAAAACACCTAACCTCTCTGAGCCTCAGTTTTCGCATCTGTAAAAGGGGGGCAATGTGCCTTTCTTGCGGACCATCCTGAGGGTTAGGTGAGATCAGGCATGTGCAGTGCTCAGCTCTGAGCCCAGTGCCCAGTAGGACCAACTACCTTTTCTTGCAGAGCGTGGGAACCACTCATCTCAAACCACCTGCCCTCCGACAGGGTGCTGATTCACTAAAGATGGTGTTGTCATACCCATGTGACCTCTTGCCACTCTCTCCCTTCTCTCCGTGCTCCAGGCTGTGACCACTGAACCAAGGGGACAGCGCTCAGCTGCCTCAGCTCCCAAGCCACCTCTCCTCCCCCGCTCTGCCCTCTGCCAGTTCAGGAGGCCAGAGGCTCACCATCAGAGGGTACCGACCCCCGCCAGCCTGGGAGCGCTGCACGACTGAGCCCGGCGGCTTCCCTGCACCCAGACTCGCGCCTTCACTCGGGCAAGGGCAGGGACCCCACGCCAGGACTTCATGGGACCGGCTAGGGGGACACGGAGATGACCAGTGAGCCCCGGGGGACGGTGTAGACAAAAGAACTATGGGCTAAATGCAGAGCCCCTGGGCCATGGAGACGAGGGCAGGGGGCCCACGCGGGCAGGCTCGCAGGACCGGTCTGTGTGTGTGTCTGTCTATGTGCGCAACGCCATCTGCTCTCAACTCCTCTTGACAACAGGAGTCAGGCTGCCCCGGGTCCAGAGTGGGGCATCCCACCCCCAGCTGTTTCGGTGTCTTTGTGGGGGGTTTCGGCTGCACTCTCTGCAAAGATGGTGGGGGGCTGCAAAGCTGAGCACCTGCGTAGTGGAGGCTACAGGGCTGAGATCTGGGCGGGGGACTCAGCTGTTCCTTTGCAAACATCTCTTCTCAGAGGCTCCATCCAAGCCCGTCAGGGTTTGGGTACCTTTGCATTTCGTTCCAAAGTGCATGTCTTCTGCCCTCTGGGTCTCTCTGGGGTATGCTGCCCCCTTTCTGCCGCCTTCTCCTGTTCTGTGACAGCCTCATCCCTTTTTTCCTCGCTGCCCCCCACCACCACAGTTTGGAAAGCACAGTGGCTCCCTGGCCAGGATGACTTCAGGGGGGCTCCTTCCAGCTCACCTTTATCCATGACACCCTCTGAAGTCTGAGCCTTGGGAAATGGGGCTCTGGGAGGGGTACGTTCTAGGACATTCTTTTCCCCTCCCTCTGCTCTGGCACTCACACCAGCTAAGTGTGTCCACCACGATGACAGATACGGGTCGCTGGGTTATGTGTGTGTATGTGACGGGTTGTATGATGCGTGCATGGCATCCTGTTTGCCAGTGATCTCTCCCCCACCCCCACCGCTATGCCCTTAAGAAGTCCTTGGGGAGGCGAGGAGGGAGGCTGTTCTTCAGGGCTTGTGTCCTGGGCTCCAGCCGGCGCCGAGCCCCAGAGTGGCTTCCCCATCCGATGTCTCTGCACACTCGGTTCCCTCACCTCCCATCGCTCGCCACCCCCCCACCTGGACCAGCTGCTTTTTCTGACCACACTGGGGTCCAGTGTTCTACGTGGTCGCCAGGAGCAAGTTAGGTGCAGAGCGATAAGGAGAGCCTCTATCTTATGTTCCTTACCTTACAAGGGAATGTCTTTCATTCCCCAAACCCTGCATCCCACTCCCCTGACCTGGCATCAGGGGAACTCTGTCTGCCAGTAGGGTACTAGCAGGACAGCTGGGCCTCAGGCAGGAAGCCCAGGGCCGGCCCACAGTCCTGCCAAACATCCTGGGCACTGCCCGGGCTTGGCTTCTGATCACCACCTCATGCAGACATCTCCCTCCCAGAGAGGGCACCTCAGACTTCAAAAACCCAACCTAGGCTCAGACTCAACATCCAACTAGAGAAACGGGGCTCTTTCCCACTCTGGGTGGCCCCCAGACAGGTTCATGCTCTGGGGGCCAAGCCTGCTTCCACACTGGGAAAAATGATGAGACCCGTCATGCTTCCCGAGACCCAGGCCGAGGGGGAGCCCTGTGCCTCCCCAAAGGCCTTCCTGATCACCTTCCCAGTGCTCCCAGCCACCTGGGACCAGCGACTCCAGGCCCTCACATGGGCCGTTCCTGAATGTTCCTCTTCTGGGGGCATCTGTCTCTGTGGCCCTTGGGCCATCTTTTGTGTGTGCTAGAGCCATTTACACATGTTTGCACAAGCCCCAGCTGCTCTGACGTTGCTGCAGGCAGCTCTCAGTGGCTGCCTCCCTGTCCAGGCAGGTCCCCCAGCAGACGTGCCCCAGACCTCCACTCAAGCCTCCTGAAGAGTCTTGCACCTCTTTAGCCCAATCAGACTTCTTGGGTCCCCGGACCCATCTTTATCAGGGACCTCTGTGCAGGAGAAGGAAATGAGGGAGGGGAGGAGTAGTCAGGGTCAGCTGCCTAAGGCCAAAAT